ATTGGTCTCACGAGTCTCATGAAAAATCTTTGGTCTCACGTGAACCCAACCCTATATATATATATATATATATATATATATATATATATTTTAATTCTTACTCAATTTAAATTAGATTATATATTAAAAGTTAACAAATAAAACATTAAAAAGGTAATGAAAGTTAAATATGCTCAACATGGCGTGAGACACAAGTCTTAAACAAATCACGACGTCACAATATGCCTGTTGCGACGAGCCTATTAGAGCACTGATTCTGATCAAAATGTTAAAGATCTCTAAAATTGATTCTTTTATCCTCAGTGTTATGATTTGCTCATGAAAAAACGATTAGTCTGTTTCAATGTTTTGATTTGTTGACAAGAAAATGATTGGTTTGTTTCAGTATTTTGATTTATTCATAAAAATAACGATTGGTCAATTTTAATGATTCTAAAAATTTAATCTTGACATGATTTCAGTGAATCAACCATGCTTTTCATGTCAAGAAACTTGATCGCTAACAACGTCGAATCTATAAAGTCCTAAGCAGTGGGTCTCGTGCACAAAACTCTTTTTGGGGTATGAAATTTGTAACCGTTAAAACTTGAGAGGTGTTCCATAATATTAGAAAATACAATGACATCACCCAAAACACCAGGAAAAAAAACCCTCTCGAAACCAACCAAAAAACTTTGAAAATATCTCTGGAAATGATGATGTTCAGCTAAAAACACATCAGATGACTTTGCAGATCCTTGATCCACCTTAAAGATGCACCCACTCAACAAAAATCATAGATTAACCGCTGATTGCTAATTCGTATGTATCTAGGAAAAAATTCATATATTCAAATTTGTTCGAGAACTAAAATTCTACGTATAAAAACAACTTTATGTACATGTAGGCCTCCAAATTTAGGTTTGTGTTATTTAACAATAAAATAATGGTTTTAGAGTGAAGTTAAGATTCTTTAATAAAATTAGATATTATTATTAAAATAAAGTACCAAATTGGTAGATGATTGTAACACATTTACCAGCAATAAATCAATTTTCTAAAATTTAATAATCGTAATATTTTGAGAATATTAAAATAAGTCACATTTAGTTTTTACGACATTATCATCTGAAATAACATTTGGTTTTACGGAAAAAAACATTCTTCTACAGATCTTTTATTTACAAGTATATAAACTAGAGCTTACGATTAAATTTCAAGAACTCGGAAAGGTTGTTTATTGCAGGGCTTTTGGAGTTTGGCTCATTGTGTCGTTTTTGACATCCCCTTTTGCGTCGTGAGTTCTTTCCATCTAATTTGGTCTTAGGTGATCTTGGTTACTGCTGTTGTTTTTGTTATTTTTGATTGGGTTAGTGCGGTTTAGCCTTGTTTAGTGTTTATTTGTGTTTTATGAATGAATTAAAAATGTGGAATAAAATTTACTAAAATATAACTATGCATTTAGTTGATAAAAATTAGAATCGAATCCTTTGTATGAATTTTTAGAATCCTTTAATAAGAATTAAGAGTTGTTCGGTAGGAGCTTAATGGGCTATATAAATGATGTGGCTTATTCGCACAACCATATCCAGTTGTTCGGTATGGGTTTATTTGGCCAGACATGAGCTAAATCGGTCAGCTACAAAGGTGGTGTCCTTTATAATCAAACATTTATTCCCCTTTTACCCTTTCCCTCTTTTATCCCCATCTCAATTTCTGTTGTTGCTCTCATTTGGATTTCTTCCAAGTCTCTCTCTCTCTCTATCTCTCTCTCTCCCTCCCTCCCCCCCTCTCAGTCAGTTGCTCACTACCACACACCGCCATTAACTCTCATCGCTGCTCACCACTATCTGATTTTGCTCGAGTCTCTCCCTTCCTCCCGATCTATCGACTCTTGTTTCTTGTCTCCCTCATGAACCCTAGCCAAGGTACCCATATTTCTTTTTCCTCCAGAGATCGCTGCTCCCTTCATCTATGGTTGCTCAATTTCTCCAAACTCAATCTTCTCTCTTGTTGCTCCCTTAGTGATCTTTTCCTGTAATCGAGCCCTTTTTGTTCCTGAAATTTCCCCCTTGATTTTTTGCTAGGTTATTGGTTGTTTCCTAAAATCGAGCCTCAATTTTTTGTTGATTACATTGGCAATGGGACCAATGTTTCTGATTTAGGGTTCTTCATCTTTCTTGCTTGATGTGAGTTTTTGTTTTAGGGTTCTTATGATTTAGGTTTGTATTATACGCTTTCTGGAACAAATTTTTACTAGATTGTTGTTGATTATGGGTTTATTTTGATTTATCGCTGCTTTGATCATCATAGGATTTTTTTTCTTCAATTTAAAACAAAGGGTGAAATACTATTTTTCACCATTTAGACTGTTTATTCAGCATAACAACCGAACAACTTATCAGTTATCATACATACAACTTTATCACTACAAATAACTTTATCTACACAAGACTTAATGAAAAACGAACCGAACAACCCCTTAGTGTCTTTGATTTATCAACATCAAAAGGCTAATGAAATAATGATAATGACCAAAACATTCTTTTTACAATATTTTGACATTTTTTTAATTTTTAATTTAGATCTTTGTTTAATTTTTATTTATTTATTTTAATGTTTAAGGATTATCTGGGTTTTCATATTAACTTTTTATGATTTAATTTGAAGGCTTTTAATTTCTTATAATTTGCCCTTATTAACTTTTAATTTCTTATAATTTCTTTTTATGTTATAATTTCTTATAACACGCACAAGATCGAGAGGAAGGGTTTGTGGATCGAAGAAGAAGAGCTATAAAAATATCGAGAGGAGGTCTTTGCAAATCAATAAAGTGTTGTTCGATATGTGATGGTACATTTGGTGAAGAGATGGAAAGGGTTATAGATCAAGTATTGTTCTTTGGGGTTAAACTGGGTACGACAAAATCATTTAGGATAGTCAAATGTACCTTTTGGTGAAGATTTGGTCATGGCACCTTCGTTCTTATGGGATAATTAGGGTCGCAAATCAAGAAAATCACGTAGTAGAGTCAATGTTGTTGCAGATTGAGTGTCAAAAAGAGATCGTAGAAGAAGAGAGTCATGACATTGAGGATAAGAATGAGAAATGCGATTAGATTAAGACAAATATAAGTAAAAATTATTATTTTTCAAAACGATAGGATGGAATGCATTTTAAATGCTATACTAAAAATCAATGAATAAAACCAAAACATGAATTGACTCGAATAAACCGAACACAGGAACAAAACGAAATTGACTATTCAACCTCCTACAAATCCCATCGTTATCCGAGAAACAAACACCACTTGATTATTTACATCATCGTATTATAATAGTTATTTTTTTTAGAAAAATCTACAGTAATTAATTTTACAACATACCCAAAAACCTCTTAGACAATAAAATGTTCAGAAAGGGTGTATTATACACCTATCTATATCATGGTCAGATTAAATCATACATTAAAAATATAAAAAATAAATCGCGATTTTGATGTATATGATAAAAAATTAACAAATATATATATATATATGTGTGTGTGTGTGTGTGTGTGTGTGTGTGTGTATTTAACAATAAGACGAACGACCATTTGAGAAAGAGAGTTAAGATGAAAAACGTAAAAGTAGATCTGAACCCTTGATCACCTTTAATCTCAAATTTACCAATGAATCGTACTTGATACGGAGATTGATCCGATGCATCTCATCCTAATATGCATTCAAGAATGAAGATCTTTTCTTATGTTTCTCATTTTAACTCTCATTTTCACCAAAATTAATTCCTTAACGATAAATAAGTATTTGTCGTTATAAAGCCTAAAAAGGGTTAGGGGCCCACAATATGTATAATTGGAATGGGGCAATGGGCACAGGGGCTTTGGTGGGCTCTTGTGTTCTTCAACCACCATCAAATTCATTTGGGCCACCAATGCCCTGATTGAAATTTGAAAAGACGATACAAAAGCCCAACAGTTTTTGTTTACACCATCAACATCAAAGCAATACCATCATCTCCTCCACGTGTAACGAGATGTGTGGTTGGGGAAGCAAAGGATCGGATATAGAAACCACTCACGACGGTTGCGGTTTAATGGCTTTGACTTATTCGATAAGCCATACAATATTATTCGATTACGGCTTAATGATTCAGCCGAGTGCTTATTTGGTCAGCTCAGGTAAATGTGTTGTATGCACACAACCATAATTTGTCTACAATGTTGCTTCTACGCTTTTTTTTGTTCTTGTTTGATCTACACAAATTGCAACAAATGTTGTCAGGTCCCGCAAACCAAGCGGGTCCTAATGGCATCTGGTTTAATGCAATGAAATGAGTCATTATTAGATACCGACCGGTTGATTGAAGATTCTTCAGGAATAGAACTCTTGAAACGAGCCAAGTGCCCACTAACTCTTTCAAGCCATATATAACTCTCAACTCCTCCTCAAGCATCCCATCTCTCTTCCAACATAAGTTATCACTTCAAGCCTTGTACAATATATGTTTGTGCACGTGTAGCGGTGCCCTTGAGTGCGTTTACGGCAATCACGCAAATTATTTGGAAGGTGAAAAAAGAGGATAATGAGGGAAAATAAAAAGAAGGGGAGTGGTTGCAGGTTCAGAAAGAGATGGAAGGCATCAATGAAAGAACATTACTCAAGATTCTACATACTTACAAGATGTGTTGTTATATTGCTTTGTTGGCATAAGCATGCAAACTCTAGTTAATCATATATATATACATATATGTGTATGTATGCATATTCTCATGATATGAAGTTACGCTTTTGTATTCGGTTAGAAAGCTGGCTAAAAGGGTACGAAAGTCATATGATAGTTGGAGGGATACATGCTTTTTCTTACTTTTCTTCACAAAAACAACTGTTCTGCCATTTGGGCTTAGATCCTACTTTCAAGTGAAGTATATCGGGTTCATTTTTTAGACGTTGTACTTGGTTTTAAGCCACAGAAAACCCCTAAAAGCATTTACTTGATGCACACAAATATGGTTATGACTTATGAGAAAATTGGACTAACTAATCATTCATGTGTGTTTTGCAATGTACACTCAACAGAACCATTGTAACTGGAAAATGATGTAATTTCAAGATAAAGGCAATATAGGATCAAGAATAGGTTCACTTAGAAAGTTTGTTCTTAATCCATTTAACACCAGTAGAGGTACCTTTCTTCACTTTGTGAGCACCAACAACAGCAGCAGACTTGGCCTTCACCAATCCAGTGGATGCAGCTGCCTTCATCTGTTCCATTTTCTTGTTGTTGCTCTTATTATTCGGCTTTTCCAAATCTTTTTCTTCATTGTCAAAGACACCGGTTCCCCATTGATCAGACCAGCTTGATGTCTTGTTTTCCATATTATGACCTGAAATCTGTTTACTGAATTACTAAATCATTGAAGGATCTCAAAATAGACATTAATCTTTTTCTTTAATAAAGCAACCCCTATAAGAACTAGAAGGATATCAAGAATCAAGCAGACATGTTTGTAATCATGAAAAGAATCAGAAAACAACAAATTATCACCCATGACCCATCACTTTGAACTGTTTAAGGCATCACTATGCTTGTTCTTTATGATTTTTACATTTATCAGATCAAACCAAACCAAACGAAACTGACCCTGTCAATCCCGCTTGAGAGTAGGATCTGGGGAGGGTTAGATGTATTCATACCTGAACTCTACCCCAAAAGAGGCAGTTGTTTTCATGAAAACCCATGGCTTGTGCAAGAGTGTGAGCAAACAAGTAGAATGCATGAATATTAACATATGGTGAACGTCACACGAGAGAAATTAAAAGAATAACTACGAGTGAGTACATTGAAGACATCCAAAAATGTACGGCTAAAAAGCATCTCGATCCTAGACTGCCAGGCCTCGCTCCCCCTCAACATGTCTAACTCCTTTGGCCCAACTATGCTAGCTACAGTTCCCTATATGTAGTAATCTGTCTTCCAGCACTCCTATCAGAGGTCATATCCTCGAAAATGTCTAAACCCATGTCCAATCTCAATTCCCATCCCACGTCCTCCTTGGCCTACCCCTCCTCACCTCCTCAACCGCCACTCTTTCTACAAAAAATAAATTGATTGAAAGTTTTGTACCATAATAACTACATGACTATCACCTAATAAAAAGACTACGACAAGCAAATTGTCAATTTCTTTCTAAATCATGTTCCAAGAGAACTAAAAATAGCATCTATGCTTTTGGAGCACCTAATTTGAGCCTCTTTCACAAAGCATTAAAGGCTATTTTTATAAGAAGCAGCATTCTGTTGTCCACTTTGATAGCTTTCTAATGTGTGTAAATCAGAATGAGGATAGACACAATGGATGGGGGCACATACGGGTTTTAACGATTTGAGCATTCAATTTCAAACTACAATCAAACAGTGAAATTGAAGTAACTCTGTATAAGTAGATCAATAAAGCACTCAGATAAATTATATACATATATCGGTAGTCGGATCTAACAATTTACTCGACGAAAACATTCAATTACGTCAGGCTTAGCTCGATTCTGTTTTTTAGGGAAAGAGTAACACATTTGATTTAATTTTGCATGTCAAGGAGCAGGAAAATATTGATTTTCGTTTCGGAACCGAAAGTTGGGAGTAATGCTAAATTTGTAACATAATCTATATAAATTACACAATCAAAAGGCAGTAGCCAGTAGGTTCGACATCAAATTCAAAACGTATTTTCTGTTTCGGTGGAAGATGTGAGCAATCTTAAACCTAACAACCTAATGACAATGCGATTCTCTGTTTTTTGCTTCGAAACACTAATCACCATTGATACATCAAGCATCATTCTAAATCAAAATACGCAAATTTAAGACCATGAGAAAAGAACAGATTGCAGACGAACAATTGAACTCGCATCATATAGTCGAAAACCCCCTTTGATTAAAAACATAGATAAAGGGAAACAGGAAGAGATAAAACCCTACCTTCAGCGATGGTGACGACCCTTCTAGAGAGAAAATCTTAGTTGATGATGACTTGTGTGAGACCCAACGAGGGTAGTTAAATACTATACAAGATAAGGAGAGTTTTAAACTTCTACTCAAACTTATTTTGTTTGAATTCCTAAATTACCCTTTCGTTGTAGACCGGTAAAAATTGGATGTTTTTAGGTTTGAATTGATAAAGTTGAATACATTTAAATAATTTAATTTTAATGTTTGTGGTTTGAAAATTTTCAATTAGATCCAACCTAAATCAAGGTGCAACCCAATCCAATCCAAATTGTACGAGTGAGTCGGACTTATACTTTGGTATATCAAAATATTCTCATAATCTTGAATATGTGTTTTTTTTACTCATAATGTATTTTCGTCATCAATCATTTAGTACTACTTATTCATACCACTTAAATCTTAAGTATATTATATTTAACTGCTTTTCTCAATTCACACACACACACACACACACACACACATATATATATATATATATGTTTTTTATTAACCTAGATATCTAACCCGCTATGCGAGCCGACTAACCCCAGGACGACCACCTGCTTTGCAGATAACCCCGAGTCACCGCATTTGAACTTTCGTGACCTCAAGGGGATTTTTATTCCTCCTTGGATTTGAATCTGAGACCTCCTGGTACTTTTGACCTTTGGAGCCAAGCTCAAACCAATCAAACACCACCCCTTGTGGTTTATATATATATATATATATATATATATATATCTATATTATATAGGGGCTGGTTCAAATACTAACGTTAACTTTGTTAACCGATCTTGGTCGTTGATTTGAACATTCAACGGTTGTCATTTATTGAGACTAAAAATTTAATTATTTAATTACCATATTAATAAAAAAATTAGGTTCACAATGGTTCAGAGGGTACAATTGTAAAAAGTGAATGATCTTAACGTATCATATTTTGTCAGCCTATTCTGTAACTTCCAATCAATATAGAAACCGTCAATCTCATCGATCAATATCTTAAATCAGTAGCTAAAAATTAGGTTCATAATCTTCATCAAAACAATGGAGGATTTGGAAGGATTACCAGGCGACGACATCCAGATAAGATTGAAACATGTGTGTGAACCTAATGAACAATGTGTGAACCTAATAAACAATTGAAAAATTAGGTTAATAATCTTCATCAAAACAATGTGTGAATCTAATGAACAATTGAAACATGTGTGTGAACCAAATGGACATATTGTGTGAACCAATTGAACATATATGTGCACGAGTGAACACATATGTCGACGTTTGATTGAACATGTGCGTGAACAGTTTGATCATTTTCTTCACTTTCGGAATTCGAATTCCGAATGTATTCGTAGACGCTTTTAGCTTTTTCATTCTCATTGTCGTCGATCTATTTTACTCTATGATTATCAATATTACTCGGACTATAACGGAATCTTTACAAATGGGACTTTTTTGAAATTTACAATATCAAAACCATTGTAGGAATAATGAAATGTAAAAATCAGTAAGATGAACAAATGTGAAACTTCATGTCATTATTACATGAAAATCAATTAGTGATATTTTAAGATTTGTAACTCCCAATTAAAATATTGGGGAATTACATAAAAATGACAAATTACCTAAATACTCTTACACTTAATATGTGAGTTACATTTGAACCTAACTAAAAAATAGAACATGATTGGTTGATATTGGTTAGCATAGTTAACACAAAAAATGGGTTAGAATTTGAACCAACCTATATATATATATATATATATATATATATATATATATGTTCGATGTTTACTAAATATATATATAAAGTTATATAGAGACTGAGAGGAATTTGAACATATATGTATATGAAAATGATACGTGATGGTGTAATTGTCTAATGTACATATTCATAGATGCTTGATAATCATATTAAATGCAAGAAGTAAAAGGATGTCGGGTCGGGTTATAATGACCCAATTCCAACTTAATAAATGCGGTTTAAAGATTTTACGATTCATTAGACATTGAGTTGTTGCAGGTTGGATTGACCGGGTTGGTCAGGTTTTTTTACCACCGCTAGCAAAAACCCCACATCAAGCTTTTTGGACTACATTGAGTTTTATTGGACCTGTTTATAAACGGTCTATGTCCATCTCTACTTATATCCAAATGCATTCAGTAATATTTCATCAAAAAAACTAAATAATGGTGAATTTTAATAAACAATAACTAGTCGTAATAACATAACTGATATTTAAGAATATATATTAACTTATCGATTATTCATAACTTTACTCACTTTACACAAGTGATTGTACTCATATGAATTTAAAAGTTAAATTTGACAGTAAGCAATAATAAATGCACATCAAATGCCCGTTAAAAGGAATATGTTTTGATCTTATATGAACACATGTTATTTTACACGATTTATGTATCGTTTAAACTTAATTTGTAATATCTTATACAATTTTATTTGATTTAGCATGTAACACTACCATTATTAAATACTATGATTCAAACTTAGAGGTACTAAAGAACAGTTAGAAAAATCCTCAATGATCTTATAGGATTTGGACCGATGATATCTGAGAAGAATCCCCAAAGACCCAAACTTTATTGCCATTTATCGGTTGAACTGATCCTATAAGTTTGACACTTTAATGGGTTAACGAACGGTTTGTTCATTGAATTAGATTGGATTTAGAAGTAGGCATGAAAATCATAACCACACATAATTTTAAAAATAACCCATGAGTTTCATATAAAAATATTTGTTTTATATCGTAACTAGTTGTGTACCCACGCAATGCGGTGGGAGCCATGAATTTTAACGATTTTGA